TCCTTGCATGTGAGGCCATTTTGATGCATAGTGATGATGGCTGCATTGGCCTTCATCTCTGCTGTTCTCCTCTTTTCTCTTTTTCCAGGCTATGAGGTGGACAGTGTCCATGAGACACCAGACCCTGTGGACGCCGTTAGGAAAGCTGAAGGAATATTCATTGGTATGAAGGATTTTTATTAAATGTACTGATATACTTTATATAAAGTATACATTAAATATATACATATAAATATAAATTTTCTTAAAAATTTGAATCTTAAAAATATACGATTTATAAGAATTTCTTAATATTTGGTTTGTCCCCCCTTTTGGAGTTCACAAATTCAATTACACAGTTTTGCTTACATTTAATTAGTCACTCAGAAATAATGGAGAATCTTATAGTTGTGTCACAGCATTTATTTGTATACATTTGTCAAAATCCTGAAGCTTTAACCCTCTAATGCACAGTGACCATTACAGAGGTGTAACTCTGACAGAATGAATAATTTGGGTTATCAATATGTTCTTGTTTTGAAAAAAAAAATAATAAAGATCAGAGCAATAAATTGTTATTGTTCACTCAAACTATTCAAAATAATTGTTAATTGACAAAAATGAAAAAAATAAATAAAAATAAATAAATAAATATTAGAAGAAAAACTTAAAAATGTGAAATGTTGCCTGAGCAACTAATTGAAATAAAATAATGTGTATAATTAAAAAATCCCTGCATCACAGGGTTGAATTCCCATGTTTTCAGTGTGGTCTTAGACTTTGTGCTGTACTGTTTTTGTGTCCAATAGGTGGCGGTAACAAATTCCGCCTGCTGAAAGCTCTCTATTACAACAAGCTGGTAACTGAGATTAGAAAGAGAGTTTTAGAGGTTAGTGTCTTGATTAATCAAAAACTAAAATACAGTATAATTGCCCGTAACAGGTGTGGTTGTTTTCTCATATAATTGACAAAAATGAAAAAAATAAATAAAAAAAAATAAATAAATATTAGAAGAAAAACTTAAAAATGTGAAATGTTGCCTGAGCAACTAATTGAAATAAAATAATGTGTATAATTTAAAAATCCCTGCGTCACAGGGTTGAATTCCCATGTTTTCAGTGTGGTCTTAGACTTTGTGCTGTACTGTTTTTGTGTCCAATAGGTGGCGGTAACAAATTCCGCCTGCTGAAAGCTCTCTATTACAACAAGCTGGTAACTGAGATTAGAAAGAGAGTTTTAGAGGTTAGTGTCTTGATTAATCAAAAACTAAAATACAGTATAATTGCCCGTAACAGGTGTGGTTGTTTTCTCATAGGATGGGATACCTTACATGGGATCAAGTGCAGGTACCAATGTCTCCACCATCAGCATCAACACCACCAATGACATGCCCATCGTCTATACACCCACATTTGCTGCCATTGGTTTAGTGCCCTTCAACATTAACCCTTCACTATCTGGATCCTGATCCCAACAGCAAACATATGGGGGTATGAACAGTTGATCATGCGCAACAGCATGACTAATTATCCATGTTGAATCCATAAAAATCCCCCCGCCCCGAAAAAAAAAATGCAGTGCCATATTGTGTGAAAATTGATTGCCATAAATGAAAAAAATAACCCTACTGAAAATATAAAATGTAACAAACCAAACTTTTAAAGTAGATCGTTCAGGCATCATGAACGCAGATTTGATTTTGCATTTTACAGGAAACGCATGAACAGAGAATTATCCAATACCACGAGGAGCCGGACACACCATGTGTGCTGGTATGATAACGTACACTACTGCTGGGGTCAGTAAATGGGGTCTATTTAATGTTCAACAAAGATGCATTATATTTATAAACTGTGAAACAATTGTTTTCAGGATTCTTTGATAAATAGAAAGTTCAAAGAAAAGCATTTATTTGAATTAGAAATCTTTTGTAACATAATCTGTACTGTTACTTTTGATCACTTTAATGCATCCTTGCTAAATAAAAAAATATTGATTCTTCAAAAAAAAGAAAGAAAGAAAATCAAAAAAAGTTGAGCACTACCACTGTATGTTGTTGATGGCAGGGTCTTCGGGAAGGCTCGATGCTCTTAGTGGAGGGAAACAATGCCACCTTACTTGGGTGCACCAAAGCACGACTGTTCCAGAGGTAATGCAGAGACTCTTGCTCATGCACATGCAAAATATAACCGAAAACAATCGTGACAAATCCTATTTCCTACTTACTGTGCCTATTTGGCATTATTTTTTTCTGAGGCTGTGGGTTTCTTTCTCAGGGGGAAGCAAACTACAGGTTATGAACCAGGCAGTGATCTCAGCTTCTTACTAACAGATGCACAGTGAGCTTCTACAGTATGTACAATGCAAACATTTTTTACAATAAATGATAAAATCCACAATTAATTTTACAGTTCTTCATTTTCTTCATCACAAGCACAGAACTTATTTACAGCTGTTTTGTTTCAAGTACACAAGGACAAAAACTATGGAAGCACTGTAGAATTTAAAGAGGATTATTCTTGAATTTAAAGCCTGCAGTTGGTTATTCATCAACCAGATAATTGTTAACAGCTAAACAAGTCCTGTGAGGTCAAGTTCATCACTGTAGATTAGAAAACTGTGTTATGATAACAGGACCTTTAGACACCAGAAACAAATTCCAGCAAAGTCCAGCTATATTCATAAGACCAACTACCAAAACAAACAAACAAAACAATTCCTACTACATCAGTATATTGGTTTATTGAATTACACAAGCATTAACAGCATGTTGCTAAACAAAATTGGGGGAAAAAAAGAAAAGGAAAGTCAAAAAGTCAAGAGTCAGTGATCTGTTTTAAACATGGTAGATTCTCAAAAATACATTTTTTTTTACAAACTTTACAAACAAAAGAGAATATATTCTGGATCATTTTATTTGTGGAAAATGCATAATTTTGATTGAATTATAAATGTATACAATTTTTCATTTAGACAACATACTTATGGCAACCCAATATGGGTAAATTCATATGGGCAGCAGCATTACTATAATACAGCAACATAAGAAATCCAGGTTTTTCAGTGTTATGGGTTGTTATTTCAGTATATCTGAAGTCAAAATTAAGACCAATAACTATGAACCGCAACCTTTAAACCATAAATCATTAGTTAAATAACTGTTTTCAATATAACGAAACAATGGAAAAAATGCCAATATTGTTAAGGATTCCAGCCTCAGTTTTTCCATGCCATCAAACTTTTCTATTCTTATCAATTAATATTCATTGGGATACATTACACTAAATGTTTTTTTTTTACTATTCTAATCAACATGTATTTGGGCAAAAGAGATAATCTTTCATCTAAAAAAATACTTTGCTTAGATTGTGACCAAGAGGAATATTAAAACTAAAGGGGAATTAAAACATTATAATAAAGGTGCTCTGTCCATAATGGGTATTATTCAAAATGCAAAAATGCTACAATTTTATTGCTCTATTGTGCAAAGATATTATTTTTTCTTTTTATAATACAAATTCAACCAAACGCTCTAAATGCACAAACACAACCCTGCTCTAAATGAATGTGTTTACAGTAGACACACTTAAGAATATTTTCTCAAAATAATACACTTTACGCCCAAATAAGAAATCAAGAGTCCAAATCCCAACAGCTGAAACAACTGCAAAGAAAACAGATAAGAACTGGAAGTCCAAAGTCCTGCAGAAAGCCCCAAACAGCAGAAAATGAGCTGTGAAAAACAATATAACAGAAGATTCTCCCACAGAAGAAGCAGAACCAGCAATCTAATGATGTGCCAAACTATGTCACATCTTTCCACAAAATAAAACTGTAAAAATCATGATCTCATTTTCTATTATTTAAGATTCATTACCTTTATTTTTGTTTCTTGTAAACAATTTGAAATGTATTATGATTTTAAATGTGTTAATTCACTATGCCCAACTGAAAATCAAATCTCGTCTTAAGACTCAGTGCAGTTAAAGAAGGACAGGAGCAAAGGGAAAAGGGACTGGCACAGGGATTTAGTCTTATTAACAGAGCATCATGGTTATTCAAACCACCTCAGCTAAGCCTCAGTTTTTCCATGCCATCAAACTTTTCTATTCTTATCAATTACTATTAATTGGGATACATTACACTAAATGTTTTTTTTTTTTGTACTATTCTAATCAAGTATTTGGGCAAAAGAGATAATCTTTCATCTAAAAAAATACTTTGCTTAGATTGTGACCAAGAGGAATATTAAAACTAAAGGGGAATTAAAACATTATAATAAAGGTGCTCTGTCCATAAGGGGTATTATTCAAAATGCAAAAATGCTACAATTTTATTGCTCTATTGTGCAAAGATATTATTTTTTCTTTTTATAATACAAATTCAACCAAACGCTCTAAATGCACAAACACAACCCTGCTCTAAATGAATGTGTTTACAGTAGACACACTTAAGAATATTTTCTCAAAATAATACACTTTACGCCCAAATAAGAAATCAAGAGTCCAAATCCCAACAGCTGAAACAACTGCAAAGAAAACAGATAAGAACTGGAAGTCCAAAGTCCTGCAGAAAGCCCCAAACAGCAGAAAATGAGCTGTGAAAAACAATATAACAGAAGATTCTCCCACAGAAGAAGCAGAACCAGCAATCTAATGATGTGCCAAACTATGTCACATCTTTCCACAAAATAAAACTGTAAAAATCATGATCTCATTTTCTATTATTTAAGATTCATTACCTTTATTTTTGTTTCTTGTAAACAATTTGAAATGTATTATGATTTTAAATGTGTTAATTCACTATGCCCAACTGAAAATCAAATCTCGTCTTAAGACTCAGTGCAGTTAAAGAAGGACAGGAGCAAAGGGAAAAGGGACTGGCACAGGGATTTAGTCTTATTAACAGAGCATCATGGTTATTCAAACCACCTCAGCTATGTACCATTCAAATGACGACAGCCATCTCACTCATCGGGGCTGTCTGCATGATTAAATGCTGACCTGCTAATAAAGATGAAGGAGTGTTGTATTCTCATCAGCATTGGTGTAAATCAGGCACATTCCTGCCTTGGCACTGTTATAGGCTAGTGAAGATGAAGAGCTCAGGCTTCTGTGTTTCTGTCTCCGTTCTCCTGAGGCTGAAGCTGCTCTTTCTCTATACTGTCATCCTGGGGCGGCCGCACACGTTTAAAGAAGCCCATCTGAGGAGGAGAGAAATCAAGATGAAACCAGTCACTGATATGTGGGTGCATAGTTCAATACCAAAACTTACATCTCTGATACAAATACCATTGAAAATTGACTGTTCAAGCAATGAACATTTAATAAAAATCAAAAGAGACAGAGAATTTTAGTTTTTTTTTACATTTAAAGGGGTCATATGATGCGATTTAAATTTTTCCTTTCTCTTTGGAGTGTTACAAGCTCTTGGTGCATAAAGAAGATCTGTAAAGTTGCAAACACTAAAGTCTCAAAACCAAAGAGATATTCTTTATAAAAGTTAAGAGTCAGCCACACCTACCTAAAACGGGAGGAGAAACAATAATGTACAGTATGTGGAAAATGATGTGTTTTTTTAACCTTAAACCGCATAAACACATTTCATTCCACCAAATACACAAAATAATGTTCTTTTTAGCAACATCATATGACCCCTTTAATAAAATAAATAAGTAACTATTGAAAAGGTCATGGAAATGCAAGTAACAGTCACTCATTAGGGGCTAAAAATATTAATTAATATTGAATTGATTACAGACAGGACTTGGCAACGCTGCTTCTGACATCCATAGTCCATCAAACTATCAATCAGTCCAAGTAATTTAACTCATGTTTACAGCTGTTCACCTTATACATGACAAAGATGAGCAAAGCCAGGAGAAGAAGTCCAGCCAGGACAGCCAAAGCCACCACCCATCCTGGGACAGGCTGAGGGTTCTCTGAATTCCAGATCACCTTCAGAGAGGCCTGCAGGACAGAGATGTGTCATTATGACACCATACAACCCTCTGTCATGATCAGTGAAGACAGTTAAAAACACCATATATCCGGCACACAAATGTGTTAGTTTCATAAACAGTAGTTACACATAACCATTCCACTCACTTCCTGACTCAAGAAAATCCAAGAAAAAGAAAGTATATCCTGTTATGTCCCGTTTACATTGATGATCATATAAACTTACTGATGTTGTGCTGGTTGGGAGCTCAGAATAGAGATTTTTATATGGCATCTCTATGACACTGAAGGAGGCTGTGGATCGAACATTGTACGATTTGTTTTGATTTTCAGCCTAAAAGGAAAGAAAGCCACTGCTGCTTTTATGTGTATTAGCATATGTGCAGTGAAAACAGTATATTAAAGATCTTTAAGGCTTTGTGGTGTTAGTCAATTGTATTGTTTTTACCTTGAGGAACGTGCTCACGGCGAGTCTGGAGTAAATAAATAGAATAGCACTCTGGCCTTTCTCCAGCCGGCCGACCCAACACTTAATCTCCTGACACTCGGTATTCCCACAATCCTGTGTGGATACACACAAACCATTGTACTTGCATTCATGCATACTGGTGTAAAGGACAGTTCAATGAATGATTAGAATGATTTCTGAAGGATAATGTGACACTGTAGACTGGAGTAATGATGGCGAAAATTCAGCTTCGCCATCACAGAAATAAAATATATTCAAATAGAAAACAGCTATTTTAAATTGCATTAATATTTCATAATATTATGTTTCTTGTATTTTTCATTAAATAAATGCAGCCTTGGTGAGCATAAGAAACGTCTTTCAAAAATATAAATAAATATAAATTATATTAAAAAAAAAGATTTTTGAACAGTAGTGTGTATATATTTCAGATTTAATATAAAACTGTTACAAGTACTTCACAGACAGTGGTGGTTGTCAAATGGCAAGTGTTATAGCTGTGAATATACCAGATTCTCCAGGTTCTCTTCCCCTTGTTTGTCCTCCAGGTCTCTGCGGTGGACGCTGTGTCTGTTCCTCCCCTCAGCTCTGTCTCCGCTGGCCGAGGTCTCATTTTTGTCAATAAATCTGGGATTCTAGGTGAAAGAAAAAGCAGAAGTTTATCCCTGGTATATTAGATGAGATCCTAAATACAACCAAGTTGTGAACAAGAAAGGTTTTAACTATCCATGTAACTAATTTGTCTGTCCACACAAAATGTCACAACCGATCATACAGCTTGTGTGGAGTGGTGTTTCAGATCCTGTTTACTCCGGTTATTAACAATGGTCTTACATATAAATACATACTATCATGATTCAATTGTGGGATACATACAGTGACATTAAGAGGGTTGAGCTCCCTGTTTGAGCTGCAATTCATGTTTCCGTCCACTTCAATCTTGGTGATGTAGAGCAGAGAGCCATTGTTGAATCTGTAGGGCCACTGCACATCCAAAATGGCCTTACTGAAAGTACTGGGTCCTGTGTTCCTTAGCTAGGAAGATCAGTGATTGCAGCATTAAAATCATAAAAAATGATGCACTGCCAAAGTTTAATAAATGTATAATGTCTTCGACCAATGATCTTTATGGTATTTTCTACCTCATAGATGTGCTGTACAAGAGGTCCAATATCATCCTCCAGAACAGGACTCTCTTTTGGCTGCCAGTTAGCGATGGGTAAAAACACTTGCTCTGGCGCAGACACCCTACACATGATAGAGCAGATAAATACACAGTGTGACTGTGCCTAGTACAAGTCAATTAATGTACAAGTGTTTTTTCAGCATTCAGGTTTTCATGAACATATTCCATCTATACTGAACAATTTTTACTTTCTTAATTAATAATCCTGGTCATATTGCACAAGTCATTCTAAATAAAAAAAAAAAGCTTTTTAATCTTCTATCTAAATGTAATAACTTGTTGCAACTCTAAAGTAAAATGTGTTCTAAATGGCATTTCATGCTGATTTTAAAGTCACATTTGTTTAACAGAAATATGATTTAAATGATCATACCCTCTTAATTTCACTTTGGCCAGCACAGCAAGCTTTGTGACAACAGACACCAGATTGCTGGTATTGTTGAACTGATTTGAGCTGAAAGCAGAAGGGAATTATTAACTTCCACAATCAAGCAATAGGCGGTGCTGTTCTTTCAAAAACTGATACATTTCATTAATTTACAGATAAAATTCCATAAACTCCACTCTGTGTTTCAGAAATGCACTATAAATCATTGAGCTAAAGCCAGGCAAAGACATGAGGGTGTGTAGAAAAAGTGAGAGACAGGTAGCAAAGCAGGATGTTCTCACAGAGACACAAAAAGAGCAGTTCCCTGTAATTAACACTTTTTAAAAAACCACTGGCAGTCAGCAGGAAACTGCAGCATTAGAAGCAAATGCTGTCTGAAGTTTTACTGATTTAAATAAAAAGACAGGAAGCGAAAATATATGTTTAGAGTGTCTTTGCTTTACATTTGTTCTAATGGCCCACCAAACTCCATTTAATTAAGATTGCACAAGCAAATCTATCAACTATATTATTGTAAAAGCAATATATCAATTAATTAAAATACCTCTGTATCTGCAAGTCAAACTTGACTTCTGTATCCTGTTCAGAGAGCTGGTGCACGCTGAAGCGCAATCCTGCTATTATCTACACAAACACCACAATTTTACAGAAAAATATGAAATGAAATAAAACAGCTAATTTATGTTACAGTAAGCAACATTAAAAATAAAATGACTTTTGGTACAAATACACATGCAGACACTTCAGACTTTCACTTCAGAAAGTCTGTTGGTTACCTTAGTTCCTCCTTTCATTGGGTTCCCAAGATCACACACCACCACTCTGGTCTGATTCTCTTTCTTGAAGGCACAGGACAGTCTAGACAATGTCTGAAATACAGAAATAACAAAAGAACCCTCAGCAAATCTTAAATGACTTCACCACACACACACACACACACACACAGACACACACACAGACACACACACACACACACACACACAGAGAGAACAGCATTTATTTGAAATAGAAATAGAAAATGTCTTTACTGTCACTTTTGACCAATTTAGTGCCCCTTGCTGAACAAAAGAATTATTTTCTTCAACCCTCACCCCTTTAAATTTTTAGTGCTTTGATTCAACAAAATTTGTGCTTCATAGACAGTATCTGTGGCATTGCTATTGATAAATTGAAATAATTCCAACTTAATTGCACTAAATTATCTTAATGAGGTAATGCTTTCCAAGGCAATTTGCAGCTTGTATTTTTTTAAAGCGCTTATAAATCTTACTTTAAGCGATCTAACTACTGTCCAAACTAAACCAAACAAACTAATTGTTATTAAACCTGGAACTTCTGTTAAATCAGCTCTCATTGTCTCATGTCTCATTACAGGAGGTCACAGTAGGGAGGACAGTGCACTTTATGAGGTGTAGATGGGTCACTGCTCACCTCACTGTTACGCACGACCCCAATGAAATCTGCCTGAGATGGTAGGGTGACAGTAAGGTCGGCCTCATATGCCCCTTCTCCTGCATTCTCTGCTGTGACCGCTAGGGTCAGGGGGTTATCATCACCTATGTAGATCTCTTTCTGGTCACTAGAGCACAAAACATCAAAAGCACAAAGTTAATCTCCAGCTCCACACCAGCAGACACTGCAGTGGAAATTAAGGCTCAAATGAAACAATGACTCGCCTCACAACAGACAGTTTCAAGTCTGGCTTGCAAATATTGTCTTCACCACAATCAAGGAGTATGTGGGCCTGGAAAGTCACAAGGGAGTATAGGAAATTAAAGTGGGTTTCTATTTTTATCCAGTGTTATTTAATGTTAATTGTTTGTTGTAAATCAGCATGCAAGTCTTTGTTAATGGTTAGTGGACGATTTATCTTTTGAGCGGCTTCTGCACAATATAACATCTAGTTTAGGGTTCCCACACTTTATGACCAATGAATTCCCATGGTTTTCCAGTCGTTTGTAATAACTATTTTAAAAAAAAGCGATAACTATAGAAAAAAAAACAAAAAAAAACTTTTGTTAAAAGTCTGAAAGCCATTAAAAAGATTTTAACTCAACCATGTCAGCCATATACACTGAATAAACCTTGTTCATCTATTACATCAAAGAATCCTGAAAAAAACTTATTATGGTTTCTACAAAAATATTAAGCTTTTTTTAAACACTGATAATAAGAAATGTTTATTGAGCATCAAATCAGCATTAGAATGATTTCTGAAGGATCCTGTGACACTGAAGACTGGAATAATGGCTGCTGAAAATTCAGCTTTGCCAAAACAGGAATAAATTACATTTAAAAAAATATTAAAACAGAAAACAGTTATTTTTGAATTGTAATAATATTTCACAAAATACTGTTATTTGCTGTATTTTTTATTTCACAAATGCAGCCTGGGTGAGCATAAGATAATTCTTTCAAAAAAACAAAACAAAACAAAAAAACAACACCTTAGCGACCCCAAACTTTTGAAAAGTAGTGTATATGTAGTGCCCCTGTAACCAGAGGTCTAGTGGGTAACAACTGTACCTGCTTAGTGACATTTGTAGGTGTAGACTGGTCAAGGATGGGCAACAGGCCGGTCTTATCTGCTGCTGTTTTGTAATCCAAGCTGTACTCCATAAAAACAGAAATGGGTGTGATCTTATCCCTGAATTCTGAGTCATCCTGTTAAGAGAGAGAGAGGTAGAGAGTGGATGGAGAGAGAAATTGGGCCTCTAGTTCAATGAGCTCAAGGCTGGGGAATTTCAGTCCAGCTTACAAGCTCTACAACATGCTCTTTTATGTCCAAGAAAGAGAGCTTTGGCTTTCCAGGTCAAATCCTTCTTTAGCTCTGTAACACATTGTTCCTTTTTGAAAACAAAATAACTTGAGCATCAAATCAGCATTAGAATGATTTCTGAAGGATCCTGTGACACTGAAGACTGGAATAATGGCTGCTGAAAATTCAGCTTTGCCAAAACAGGAATAAATTACATTTAAAAAAATATTAAAACAGAAAACAGTTATTTTTGAATTGTAATAATATTTCACAAAATACTGTTATTTGCTGTATTTTTTATTTCACAAATGCAGCCTGGGTGAGCATAAGATAATTCTTTCAAAAAAACAAAACAAAACAAAAAAACAACACCTTAGCGACCCCAAACTTTTGAAAAGTAGTGTATATGTAGTGCCCCTGTAACCAGAGGTCTAGTGGGTAACAACTGTACCTGCTTAGTGACATTTGTAGGTGTAGACTGGTCAAGGATGGGCAACAGGCCGGTCTTATCTGCTGCTGTTTTGTAATCCAAGCTGTACTCCATAAAAACAGAAATGGGTGTGATCTTATCCCTGAATTCTGAGTCATCCTGTTAAGAGAGAGAGAGGTAGAGAGTGGATGGAGAGAGAAATTGGGCCTCTAGTTCAATGAGCTCAAGGCTGGGGAATTTCAGTCCAGCTTACAAGCTCTACAACATGCTCTTTTATGTCCAAGAAAGAGAGCTTTGGCTTTCCAGGTCAAATCCTTCTTTAGCTCTGTAACACATTGTTCCTTTTTGAAAACAAAATAACGGCATATTCCAGTGCCAAACATCTGGGCTATCTGCCACTACAGCTTTAAGCACGGAGCAAACACATATTTGATGACATAAAGGCATCAGCACTTCTTCAGTTGGCCAAATAAAGCAAAACTACACTAAACTTTTCACAGCCCAGTACTGGTATAACCAGCAGAAGTGAATGAGTCACACAGGGATTCTATGTGTTCCTGTATCCCAACTGGTAGAGCATTACATTAGGAACACCTAGGTCATGGCAAGCACTGCAAAATGCTTTGGATAAAAACATCTGTCAAATGCATAAATGTGAATGGATTTGCTCACTATTAAATAAGCCTGAAGCTCCTCGCAGGCTGGTCCCTGGCTGTTGGAGACAGTCATGTTCTTTGAATAATGAGGCATCTTGTTATGGAGGAACAGGACCCGTTTGATGGCTCCCTTGTGTTTGAGGCGGTCCAGGGTCAAATCCACTTGGAAATCTTTGAATGAAAGGGTTTTCCAGGTCACTTTTTCATTTCAATTATAATGGAGAGAAACACAAATAGTAATAAAAAGCAGTAAATTCAGAAGGAATAAGGGAGCTATATACATTTTCCACATAACAGAGTTGCTCCTTAAAAAGAAAGAGGCCATTTAAAAGAAACAAGCATAAGAAATATAATATGCAACTGAAACTGTTTAGACCACAAGCAGTCAACCGTGAAACCTTTAAACGCAGTGATACCCCTGAATCTCTGTAAGCATTCAACTGCTTTAAATCTCTGGTTCAGTCTGCCTGGAATAAACTGGGGTTAATGGTCTTGCTCAAAAGACACAATGGTTATGGCTCTTAGATCTTAGAGTTTCACTACGGACCTTTTAGTTACAAGCACAGATATATAAAAACAGCTGTACTTAAAGGCAGCATATGAGCACTCGACTTTGAAAATCTACTTCAAGAGCTTAAAACATTCTATTTAAAGGGAGAGTACACCCATGCCATTCCAAATCTGTATGACTTACTTTCTTCTGCGTAACACAAAAGAGGACATTAAAGAGATTGAACTACACTGGAAACCAGGTAATACTGGACCCCACTGACTTACATTGCATGACAAACTCTAAGACATTTCTCAGAATCTCTTCTTTTATGTTCTACAGAAGAAAGAAAGCTATTTGGGTTTGGAGCAACATGAGGATGAGTACATTTATGGGTGAACTATCACCCACACTGACACATTAACAACACTTATTCAGTATTCAGAAATTTGTCTGCCTAGTCATAGTGAGGTAAATAAAGTAGGACAGAACTAGTGACTATACCTATTATTATACTATATTTCACCCAAAAGCAATCCCACATCCTGTGTATAAGCACAGAAAAGCACTGAAACTCATTTCACATACAATGTGGGGTTTACATAGACATCATAAAGGCAAAGTCGCAAAAATCACATGTTTAAAGGAATGCTGTCGTGGAAAACAAAAATGATCACTTTTTTAGCTAAACTAACTAGTTTACAATGTTTTCGAAACAAGTTTTTTATGCTCACCAAGGTTACATTTATTTGATTAAAAATACATAAAAAATGGTAATATTGTAAAATATTATTACAATTAAAAGTAACCATTTTCTATTTGAATATATTTTAAAATATAATTTATTCCTGTAATGGGAAAGCTGAATTTTCAGCATCATTACTCCAGTCTTCAGTGTCACAACATCCTTCAGAAATCAATCTAATATGCTGATTTGCTGCTAAAGAAACATTTCTTACTATTACAATGTTACAATGTTAAAATCCGTTTTTGCAGAAAATGATTTTTTTTTTTAGGATTCTTTGATGGACAGATGTTCAAAAGAACAGCATTCATTTCAAACAGAAATCTTTTGTGACAATAAATGTTTTCACTCTCTCTTTTGATAAATTTAATGTTGAAAAAAATAATTCATTTGTAAAAAAAAAAAAAAAACAATCTTACTGGTCTCAAATTTTGAACAGTAGTATTTACCTATATACCCATAACATTTCCTACTCGAAACAAAACAACTAAACTGACACAGTTTATGCGTTTCAGATCACGGCAGATCCATTTATGACAGGCCTTGCACCATACACACATCCGTACCTTAAGCTTGCATAACGGCAGCCATTAGTTCAACCAGAGCATAGGAGAACTTCAAAGCGCACAGAGAAATAATGAATTGGCATCATGGTCTGTGGTCTATGAACAGTGGGCTGTGGGTCTGGTAGCCATTACACCCCAGACGGTGAGATCCATGTGAAAGCTTTGTGAGCACCGGACGCTGGGCTTTTAACGGCTCTGCACCGTACGTCCGGCTCCAAACACACTGATGCCTGACACGCTGAGCTCTAGTTTCCCCCCGCAGCAGTGCTCATAACACACACCGCAACAGCAGGACTCCGTTTACAGCCACCATGTGCTTCTACTACGTGCAATAATAGGTTCCTGAATATTACACATTTCAATAATTTGCATATATAAAGAAACAAGTACTTACGAAGAGAAGAGGGCGCTCCCTTGCCATTTGCCTTCAGACAGTATTTCACAGTGAAGCTAAGGGAAAGAATTGAACAGAATTATTAGATTATTTTCATGATATTCTCAGTGCATAATAGTCAAGTATCTTAAAGATATTACTGATGATGAACCAAATGTACGTTAATTTCTATTTAAGAAAATCACTTCTTTAAACAGCTATTTCTAAACTCCAGACTGTGATACGTTACTGCATTCTTGCACAAACAACTGTGGTTTTAAAAGAAGCAGAATGTTACAAAATAATAATAGCGACCCTCAAATAATCTAAATGTGCATTTAAAGAAAAAGAGAAAATGTTTAGTGATATTTTAGGGATATTCACAATATATTTGTTATGATTTTACTGGGCATATAAGATGCAACAAAGTGATTACTGCAATGATTTTAATGCACTTTTATTTGGCCATTATGTTTCTATCATTACATGTCGCCACTTAGATGCAAAATGTTTCAATAGCTGTTTGGTTGAAAATGTTTGATAAAACAAAACAAAACAACTTGACTCACCAGGATACTGTGGTGGTTGTTCCAGGCAGGGTGCAGCTCTTGTCTTCAGGGTTTAGGATTTGTGGGCTTATATCCAGTGTGCTGTTCACACTGATGACCGGACGAGCCCTAGAAACACAAAACAAGCAGGTATCATCAGTCTTATAATGTAAGATTGTAGACATTCACAGAAAGATAATGTACAATCATTTTCTTTTAGTTTTACATGACCATTTCAGTTTAGTTTTACATGACTTCCTGAAAAAACGGTTCTTTTTGCTGCTGTACCTTTTGGACTTCTATATGTAAATGACCTCTTTTATGACTTGTTATCCTCATTGCATATGAAAATTCCTGCCTAATTCACAAAATTAAGTGCCATATCCAAGATGTTGAACTAATCACTGCTAAAGAAGCAGTGATATTAAAATGTGGTGGGTGGTAATATTACTATGTTCATGTTTGAGACATCAATACTGTGCGGTATTCGAAATCATCCACTTTTGCAGCTTAGTAACCATTAATGGTCTTGATGGACTGGGAAGGTAGTTTCACATTGTACGACTAAACTTTTGACAGCTGTTTTTCAATACCCAGAGCTTATTGTGCAATAATGACAAGCTGACTGTACATTAGGGCTTCTACAGTACATGTAATACAATGTAAATCTAAGCCTGGTGATCTTCCATGTACAAAAATAGATGATGGCAAATGTTCCACAGTGATTTTCTTTTAATACAGACTGTAACTGCTTTCACTACTTGCACATAAAGCAAATTAAATGCTGCTGAATTAAATGAAACCACCTTTAATGGCCCTGATCATAAAAGTCTATCAAATGCATGTGTGACTTCAAAGTGAAGCATAAGCGTACTGTACCTGTACAGAACGGCTTTGTCAGCTCCGAACACCCCAACAATCAGGTCTATAAGAGGAGAGAGTGTGAGAGAAAAAGAATGAGTGGCGGTAGAAGTGTAGGAGAGGAAGTAGCTTTGAATTGAAGTGACTGTAATCAGTTAATTGCAAAAGATGTGTGAATGTGCTGGAATCTAACCAGGGTATCCATTCTGATCGACATCTGTGCCTCCGTTCATGGCGTAACCAAAGCTAGAAGGCATAGAAGCAGACGCCCATGTTCCTTCCAGAACTTGAGAGGCCACAGGATTCAGCCCAGTGGGACGCCCGTTATGGATGTACACCAGGCCGCGGTGGAACTGCCCCCCATATGGGGCAGCAATGGCCACATCTGAGAAAAAACAAAGGGATTAAATATAAAACCATTTGAAGTTGTTTATTGGGTAACTGCCATGGGCAGTACTGTGTTTTTATCTGCACGTACAGCCATTGCTCAAAAAGCTCAAGAGGCATGATTACTGTTGCACAAGACAAGACGAGGAAGACAGTGACAACAGCATCAGACCATGACCACAAATGACTATATATGCACTGTCTCTCTGTCTGTCTTGGAAGCTAGTTTGGGCTCTTAAAAGAACAGCACAGAAATTCAGAGAATACAGGAAAGTCAAAATAGTACCATTATATCCATCCATGTTGAGGTCTCCCAGGCTGCAGACTGAGCTTCCATATCGAGCATAGATCTCAGAGCCAGTGAGTTTGATGACATTGTTGAAGGTGAAGCCACCTTTGCCTAGGTAGACATTGACCTGACCCACCTCCCTCAGCTTCCCATCTGAGCCGCGGTCCATGAACAGAGGAGCCCCCACCAACAAATCCATCTTCCTAAAGGGGGAAATAAAGGGTTTATTCTATGTGAAAAATCAGCATATCAATATCAGCATACCACACTTACCAACCAGCATAAACCAGCTGGAAGATTCTGTTGAATAAATGTCAAACTTTGAAAGTGATTGTAATGAATTCACATAACTAAAAAAAAAGATAAGAGGATAAAAACAACCTCATGATAAAAACAGGGCCTTCCTGAACAAAAATGGTCAACATGTTCAGGCACAGAGATGCTTGTCGGGAAAACGTATGGAACTTTATCTTCACTGTTGCATAATGTCCAGATCTCAGCTAATTTTTTTGAAATAATGCCAGTGAATGTTCTCAAAACATTGTTGTGCATATATTTAGGCTAGGTTTACTTGGCCCAGAGTAATAAAAATGGATTCCTAAAATGAATATAATTTAAAGCAGTGGTTCTCAACTGGTTTCTAAAAAACATTAAATTAAAATGCCCAAAACTCTCATAAAAATCTTTAATTAATAATTTTTACCCCCTTTCTGTTGTTGATGAAAAAGATCGACTCACTTGTTGAATAAATCACATGCCCCCTATTTATTCAGTCACATTCATACAGTAGGTCCAACCAATTAAATACTTTGGATGTCTTTGGAGGCTGGAAAAAAGCCCCCAAAGCAGTTGCTTGCTTCAACAGGAAGACACTTGAGCAAATTATATGAGTCAGTGCTAGGAAGTGAACAAGAAGGGTTTGTTCACTTAAAAGATTTGTTCATAAGCACTTATTCATCCATGAGCCACTAACACAGAGAAGTTCCTAATAGTGATTCTGGCCTTTACAGACACCACTACATACACACACACACATTAGGAATATATATATATATAGAAAACTGTAAATGAAGATGATAATTGAAATGGAGATGCATACTGTATAGTAAGTGTATCATAGAGCTCAAGCTGCTCTATAGGTGATGATACACGAGGCAACTTTTTGAGAAATGTTGCCGTTAACAAGCAACCAGGTGAGACACAGGTGAGACCACATGACCGATCTAAAGTATCCAGATTGAAATTTGTTGCCCATTCTCAATGGGAAAGTGCAACATTGCTCAAAAAAGTTGTCTCGTGTATCATCACCTTAATTGCCAATTGACTTACTGCTTTGTAAGTGTTGTTCACATTTAAATGAGCCTCAACATTCTATGTCAGTAACAGCAGCTTTAGTTGATATTTGAAATTGAGTTTATATTACATTTACATTTAGTCATTTAGCAGACGCTTTTATCCAAAGCGACTTACAAATGAGGACAATAAAAGCAGTCAAAACTAACAAAAGAGCAACAATATATAAGTGCAAATGACAAGTCTCGGTTAGCCTAACGCAGTACACGTAGCAAGGTGTGTATATATATGTATGTATATATGTATATATATATATTATACACACACACACATATACACACACACACAAACAAAGAAAAACAAGTAGATAGAATAGAAAAAATAGATAATATAAAAATAAAATAAAAATAATATAAAATATATTCATATAAAATAAATAACATTTAAAACATTTATATTTGAAATCAACACAACTGTCCCTAAAGCCTTGAAGCCTGATCACATGCTAAAAGCCTTCAACTCTACAGTTTGGTGAGTTTCATCAATTTGTCAAATCTGTAAAGTGTTTCTCTAGGCATCTTCATGGAGCAGCATCGCCCCAGAAGAAGCAGGGCTCTTCCCACACACCTGAGGGGATTCTTGGTGGAGGGTGTCTCTTCCATTCAAGAGGCCTGTGAGCTTTCACAGCTGGCAGCTGTCATCAGGTTAGATCACACCTACAGCTGCATCTCTGCCAAAGCTCACAGACCCAACAGGTTAGAAGAGCGCTATCTGAAGAACGCTGCTGTCCTTCCTGACATCCGTCCAGGAGCCTCAGTCTCTTCAGTGGACGTGTGTCCGGTGCCTCTGTGTCAGCAGGAAGAGCCCGTCTCCATCCACGGCTGCAGCGTACAGGGTTACCAAAACATTTACCGCTCTGTGGAGCCCATGATGGAGACACGCTGTGGTTGACAGTGTCCCTACATGCTTGAGCTGGGGCTGAAGATCAAGCAGCGCCTGTGGGAGACGCTCAACTGCCCTTCACTGCTGCAGACAGAGCAGCCAGATGGACGCGTCCTGATCACTGAGCTTCACCAACAGCAGACGCTTCGCTCCACGAATCCATGTGGACGTCAGTGAAGAGCCTCTGTCTGAGGAACCCCGAAGAAAGAAGCCCAGACACTGAGTCATCACAGTGTCACATGCAGCATCGCACAGCGGGACCTACGTATGTAAATACTGTACATATTGTACATAATTATACAGTAAGCTTGTAGAGTACGTTTTTAGCACATTTCTGCGTGGCTGTTCGGATGTTTTTGGTGATTGTCAGAGCGTTGATTTGTGGTGCTCTGTTGTTCTAATAGGTTTTTAGTGCTTTGCTATGTGCTTGTCAGGATGTTTTTGGTGGTTTCCTGTGTGTTGACGTGTTTGCCAAGGTTTTCTGAACGGTTGTTTGCGTGTTGCGTTGCGGTTGCTGGACTCTTCTGTTTGGTTTTTCATGCATCGCTATGTGGTTGTTAGGATGTTTTGAGTGGCTGGTTGACATGCGGTTGTTTTAAACAGTTGAGTAGATAGGTTAGGGTCCCTCACACGGTTTGCAGCTTGACGTGCTGTGAGGGCTTGTGTGCATCAGTGATGCTGAGAGCTATGCCACTGGTACTTCACAACTACTGGTAGGGTCACCCATAGTGGACAGGTCTCAGCTGAGATGCCAGACGAAGACAAACCACCTGATTCTGGACGGCAGCAGGTTGACCTGATGTTCCTGGCAGAAGATCAGTCTTGCAGTAACAGCAACAACATCAGAACATCATACTCCAGGTAAGAAAGGCCATCTACTTCCATATCTTCCCAAAAAAAATTCAACAGATAGTTGGTTCTAGTAATAGAGGGACTGGGGAAGAGCTGATTATATTATATTATATTAATTCTATTTTATTAACAAAATACAGACAATACAACAATGTATAACAGGTAAATATTATCACAGTAATCTGAACTTCAAATCTGAGCTTAAAACAGATGTTCTGCAAGGCCCTCATTTGTGCATTAATAATCAAAATGTACATTAAGGTGCTCTGCAAAACTTCACGGGCGAATTCCATTCATTTCAATAGGAATCCGTGCGATTGGGAGGTTTGCGTGAGGGTGAAGTTGGTCACGCAAATTTGCCGTGCTGACCAAGAGAAAGCTGCTTGGTTTGAAATTGACTTGTGTGTGAGCAGTGCCTCATACATCACTACACTATTAACAGACAGAGTGATCATAAAAATTAATTAAAAGCTCAAAACTATAGTAACCCTTTTTTTGTGGATTTCCAGAGAGATTATGTGGTTGATGAAGTGAAAAAAAATAAAAAATAAAAGTTACTCATTTTATTCAAGTTATTATTTTTCTAAGTTTCATTTTTAATGTCTGAGTATTTTTCTCTTTGATTAATAGTCTTTATGCATCAAGACAGAAGGCACAATATTATTCTGTTTGCCCATAAAGGGATCGTTCACCCAACACGTGTTTTGAAAACTGGGTTTTGTGAAATGTTGTTGTTTTTGTTTAGATTCACAGACCTTCAATGTATGGGCAAACAGTTGAAACATTCTTCAAAATATTTTCTTTGTGTTCCACAGAAGAAAGTTATACAGGTTTAAACAACATAAGGGCGAGTAAATACACAATTTTAATTTTGGACTAAAATATCCCTTTAAGTCTGTGAGACTGATTTCCTGAAGGCCAGTTTAAAGAGTGATCTGCTTTTGAGTCACAAATACTGAATTCCCACAATGAGAAAAAACATCCAACAGAGTGTGAGTGTAAAGCATCACTTACCTGTCATTATTGATGTCAACAGCTGCTACAGAATGACCAAAGTAAGCAGCCATCTAAGTTGGACAGAGAGAGAGAGAGAAACACTTAACTGAAGATGACTAAACTGGAGCTTTAGACTTAATACGGTTTTTAAGACAAACAAAAACAGTAAAAATGTAAAATATTTGTCTACATAAAAGCTATTGTCCATAACACTCAAATCGACTAACATAACAACAACAACAACACTACCACTACTGCTACTAATATATCATTATCATTATTATCACTGGTATTGGTGGTGCCCCCTACAGTATATCAAGATTCAAGATTCAGTTTTCAAGCTTTTTGACTCATAAATCTCTGTTAAGCTTGTGTTGACTTAAGCTTGATTAACTGTTGATGAATCAGAACTGAAGCAATCACAATCAGCCAAAAACACAGGCTTGCTGACTCCACACCTCATCCTCTTTTCAGCTCTCGCTCTCGTGTGTTGGCGACACTGCTGTCAATAGCTTCCAGATGTGGGAGTGGATTTAGGACATGAACTCTCCGCTCGTAAACAAATGTTAAACATAACTGTGCCATGACCACAAGCATGGGCATGTCACGTGACCTGCAGGCTGCTCACAGGCAAGACTGCTCATATACAGTGGGTACGGAAAGTATTCAGACCCCCTTAAATTTTTCACTCTTTGTTATATTGCAGCCATTTGCTAAAATCATTTAAGTTAATTTTTTTTCCTCATTAATGTACACACAGCACCCCATATTGACAGAAAAACACAGAATTGTTGACATCTTTGCAGATTTATTAAAAAAGAAAAACTGAAAAATGCTCAGTATTTAGTAGAAGCACCCTCTTGATCTAATACAGCCATGAGTCTTATTGGGAAAGATGCAACAAGTTTTTCACACCTGGAATTGGGGATCCTCTGCCATTCCTCCTTGCAAATCCTCTCCAGTTCTGTCAGGTTGGACGGTAAACGTTGGTGGACAGCCATTTTTAGGTCTCTCCAGAGATGCTCAATTGGGTTTAAGTCAGGGCTCTGGCTGGGCCATTCAAGAACAGTCACAGAGTTGTTGAGAAGCCACTCCTTCGTTATTTTAGCGGTGTGCTTAGGGTCATTGTCTTGTTGGAAGGTAAACCTTAGTTCCAGTCTGAGGTCCTGAGCACTCTGGAGAAGGTTTTCGCCCAGGATATCCCTGTACTTGGCCGCATTCATCTTTCCCTCGATTGCAACCAGTCGTCCTGTCCCTGCAGCTGAAAAACACCCCCACAGCATGATGCTGCCACCACCATGCTTCACTGTTGGGACTGTATTGGACAGGTGCCTGGTTTTCTCCACACATACCACTTAGAATTAAGGCCAAAAAGTTCTATCTTGGTCTCATCAGACCAGAGAATCTTATTTCTCACCATCTCGGAGTCCTTCAGGTGTTTTTTAGCAAACTCCATGCAGGCTTTCATGTGTCTTGCACTGAGGAGAGGCTTCCGTCGGGCCACTCTGCCATAAAGCCCCGACTGGTGGAGGGCTGCAGTGATGGTTGACTTTCTACAACTTTCTCCCATCTCCCGACTGCATCTCTGGAGCTCAGCCACAGTGATCTTTGGGTTCTTCTTTACCTCTCTCACCAAGGCTCTTCTCCCCCGATAGCTCAGTTTGGCCGGACGGCCAGCTCTAGGAAGGGTTCTGGCCGTCCCAAACGTCTTCCATTTAAGGATTATGGAGGCCACTGTGCTCTTAGGAACCTTAAGTGCAGCAGAAATTTTTTTGTAACCTTGGCCAGATCTGTGCCTTGCCACAATTCTGTCTCTGAGCTCTTCAGGCAGTTCCTTTGACCTCATGATTCTCATTTGCTCTGACATGCACTGTGAGCTGTAAGGTCTTATATAGACAGGTGTGTGGCTTTCCTAATCAAGTCCAATCAGTATAATCAAACACAGCTGGACTCAAACGAAGGTGTAGAACCATCTCAAGGATGATCAGAACAAATGGACAGCACCTGAGTTAAATATATGAGTGTCACAGCAAAGGGTCTGAATACTTAGGACCATGTGATATTTCAGTTTTTCTTTTTTAATAAATCTGCAAAAATGTCAACAATTCTGTGTTTTTCTGTCAATATGGGGTGCTGTGTGTACATTAATGAGGAAAAAAAATTAACTTAAATGATTTTAACAAATGGCTGCAATATAACAAAGAGTGAAAAATGTAAGGGGGTCTGAATACTTTCCGTACCCACTGTAAATAACTTGCCCTAAGGGCAAGTTATTTGTTTTTCAATTTTTTATTTATTATTTATTTATTTTTGCCCTACGGGCAAGTTATTTATTTTTCATTGGCTCAAGTTAAAAAAATATAGATGTGAATCATTACCAAAAAAATTTTTTAATTGGATGAATGAAACATTTTTTTCAGTGTA